CTGTTCTGTCATGTCTCTCATGTGGTGTCCTCCCTGAATTCACTGACAATACAATCATTTTCTACTGGTTAAATGTCTACACCTAATACACTTTTTCCCATGAATAGTATCCCACTGTGATCAGAGAAATGCTGCAGGCTTTACAGACCATGTTGCAGCGGTCTGCCTTCATTACTGGTAACTTCTTACTTTAATTTTTAATTTAGAATTATTTCATTTTCATTGTTTCTCATTTACAGTCAGTCACAAAGTTTCCTTTCAATATATATTAACCTTATCTGGATGGACATAGAGGACATTATACTAAGTGAAATAAGCCAGTCAGAGAAAGACAAATACCATATAATTTCACTCACATGTGGAATCTAAAAAACAAACTGAACTAACAAGCAAAATAGAGACATTCATAGGTGGAGAGCAGGATGACAGGTAAGGCAACAGCAGGGGGCAGTTAGGGGATGGAGGAATAGAGCAAAAAGGAAAAAGGACTCAAGGATATGGACAATAGTGGGGCGATTGTGAGGGGGCACTATAAAAGGGCTAAATGGAAATTAAAAAAATACAGTAAAAAATGTTAGATTACGTTAACCACATAAGTCAGCTTTAGGAACTTCAATGAGTAAGTGATGGTCGTTGGCTATAGCAACTCCGTGGGAAGAGGAATGTATAATCCAGGAAGCAGTGGTCCCAGTGAGAAAAATGAAGAAACGACTGTAGTGTTGGAGAGAAGGGGGCAAAAGGTGACATGACGGAGCGATGGACTCAACAAGGCTCCAGGTGGTAGGGTGTGGCCCAGGAGGCGGAGGCCTTACCAAGGGTGATGCTGTCCCACCAACACTCTGCTCTCTGCAGAACAGCTGGGCAGCTCTCCCTGTCCCCCGCCTCCCCTGCCCCCCAACTCTGTGATCATTCCTTCCTAAGAGCCCTCATCTGCTCTCCTCCAGCAGAGCTCCCTGTTTGGCAGCTGGGGAGCAATGCTCACAGCCAGGGATGAGTCTCATGAGTGTCTCTGCTGCTACCACAGGCTGCCACAGTCTCTCCTGCTCAACCTCCCTGTGGCTGGGCCCAGGGGACTAGTCACCTAGCTGGAAAAGGGCGCAAGCTACCTGCTGGGCCAATAACTGGATAAATGCTGAACAATGGCTTTTTTATAACAGACAAGGAACATAGACAAAAAGGAAGGTGGAGAGCACAGTGAGTCTGGGTGGGGTCCAGAAGCCTCACATGTGGACATGGCCCACACACAACGTGAAAGAGCTGTTCAGAGGTCAGTGCTCATCAGTGAAATGACTTTTCCTCTGTACCACTCAGGCTGAGTTTTCTCAAGAAGTTCCTTGCTTCTTTTCTAAAACATAAGTTAAAACCTGTAAGGAATGTTAAAACACTGTCCCCTCAAATGGTCACTCTCCCTAAAATCTGTCATGTACCTTTCCAATGCTAAGCCTCTAAACTAGGGTCCTGCTCTCTAGAATTTTCTTACCTCTGAGCCTGGAAAAATATCTATTTATTTATTTACATAAGTAATAGGTACTATAAAAATTTAAATACAAAAGTATATCTAGCAAAAGGTGAAAGAGAGAGACCTTTATCTATTTTTAGTTTCTTATCCAGAGGTAAGATAAACAGTTTATTATATATATTACTTAAAAAATGAATTTTTATATGCATACAAGTAAAAATATATAGTTTAGGTTTATTAACATGAATAATGGCATTTATAATATAAATATGATTATATGCTTAAAAACATGTACAATATTTTTCTAACACACATTAAAGGTTTGCATGTTTTGTATTTTGGTAGATTTTGTAAAACTGCCGCACAGACACACTTTACTAATTCCTGCTCCTGCTAGTTGTGATTGCCAGTGCTCATCTCCATGTGTTCTCTTTGACACTGGATGTTATCTACGATTTCAGTTTTGCCAATCTGTTGAAGGCAAATTATCTTTCATTAATACTGAGGTTGAAGGCCATCTATATTTCTTCTGTGAATTACATGTTTATAAAAATAAATATAAATTGACTCTTTATAAATTGCTTTTGCCCATTTTTCCTTTGTGTATTTTTCTTTTTCTAATTGATGTGTTGGAATTCCTTTACAATAAAAAGTAATTCTCTGTGGTATGTGTGTCGCTGTCTCTCACCTGCCTGTCTTTCGATGTATGTAGAGTCAAATGTGTTATTCTTTCTGTCTCCCAAGAATACATAAAAGATTGTTGGAGGCCATAAAGAAAAAGAATGACACATTGACTTTATATATGAAGTTTGTATAATGCACATTTATATGTATATTTAATATATATCAAATCTTGTATATACATCAAATACTTTTCCTTTTTAAAAAAAATTTAGCTTTTACTTCCTCACCCCAAAACCCCACAGAGCAGATACCATTACTGTCCCCATTTTACAAGCAGTAAGACTAGGGAACACAAGTCGGGACAGCAATATGCCTCCAAAGCCCATGCTCTTAACCAAAACTTTATTTTGAACCCATGTTACTCAACATAACTAATTCCCTTTACATAGTATAAAATAACAAAAATAAATGCAATGTGATAATGACACATATGTAGTTAGCTCTGATAAATACAACAGATAATCCAGAAATTTCATTTAATCTAGAAAAGCTAACTGTATAAAAAGACAAAATTATAAAATATTAGAGAACAAATATTGCTTATAAAAGATATTGGAAAAACTGTTCAGCATTATTTTTTAAGCCAGTTTGAATCCATTTTTCATGACAACCACCAGGGTAAAAGACTAGAAGAAAAAAATCCCTTAAAAGAGGATTAAGAAGAGTTAGAGAAAAAAAATGAACAGATTTGGGCATGTAAAAATGTTAAATGACTACATATTTCTAAAAAAAATTCATTTGAAAAAGGTATACAATAGTCTTAGAAAAAACAATGAAAATATACCAGATAAATCTTATTAAAAACACATATAAATTAGCAAAAAATTAAAAGGCATTAAGATCTTAACAGATAAATGAGCAAAAGAGAAAGTACAACTTGTAAACAAACATGTGAAAAAATGTTCAATCTAATTATATTAAAAGAAATGCAAAGTTATAAAAAAGGGCTTCTGTTTTGCCTATTTTTTTATGATACTGTCACAGGTGGAATAGATACAGTTAAGCTGGCACTCTTACACAGAGTGCTGACAGAAAAAAGCTTAGCAACATACACCAAGCACCATTAAAATATTCATGCTCCTTTACTTAACAATCCCATGCCTGAGAATCTATTCTACAGACATAATCTAAAAGTAGGAAAAATACTATATGAGTAAGACAGTTACTGAAGTATTATTTATAATAGTAAAAAACAAACAAAAAACCCTCTATTTTCAAGAACAGGGAATAGTTAAGTAATTTATAGAACAATCACTCACTAGAACAATTATACACTCTTAAAAATAATTGTTAAGCCATTAACATAAAGGACATTATGTTATAATATCTAGTTGTACAAGTAGAATGAAATATAGAAATTTTAAGTTGCTTTAGAGCATGGGATTGAATTATTATTTTCTGTAATTTTTAAACTTGATTTGAAAAGACCCAAATTCTAATCCTAGCTGCACCACCACTCTGATCGGTGGAATCACCCACCGATCAGAGTGAGTTTGGCAAAGCTTTCGATGCCTCTTTCCTCACCTACACAGTAAAGACCACAACCAGAACTACCTCGTGGGACTACTGTGAGGACCATACGAGAGAGTGCTCATGAAGAACTTGACTGCTGTGAATGCCAAGGCAAGCACGCAAAACGCTCTTTTTATCATTAAAAAAATTAACCATGTTTTAAAAACAAAATTGAAGGAAAAATATTTCACGTTTTTTTTTCAGTTGGAAATTTAGTATTGTTAATTTAGACTTCCTCTACTTTTGTGTGTTTCTCCTAGTAAGAACAGACAACACTTGCGCATAAACTCACTTGGCAAAGGAAAGATTAAAGGAAGTGAAACGGCTACAATAAACCAGAACCATGTAAAAGCAACAAGTCTATGAAGCTGAGCTGTAAAGGAACAAGCGGAGCCATATTAGTGAGCACTACAGAACAAGCAGCAGATGTATGTGTTTTCTTCAACTTCTAGTGAGGAGGGGGAATCACATTTCTTATGTGAACTTAAAATATGGTCTTCCTATATGGCTAAGCTAAATATTTCATTCTAATAAGAAATTAGCTCAGTGGAAAAAGGAAATAAAAGAAGCTTAATTTCTAGAAAATAGAGTGGTGATGAGACATTTCAAAGTAGTTGAGCCCCTTGCTGGGGAAACAAGGGTGCGACGAATTACTGCTTACACAGAAACCACCTAATAAGTTACTTCCTAGAAAAGCCTATCTTTGTCATAGCTTTGAAATTCTGCCATCTAAGCCTCATAAGCACAATGTTTGCCCCAGATATCAAGCAATGGGACATTATCAGGCCCTCTGCAAGATGCCAGGCACATGTCAAAGTGCTGATCTTCAAGGGGGGAAAGGCTCCCTAGAACTTTCTCCTGGGCTAAGAACCAGTCCAGTGGGCAGTCCTCTCCATAGCATTTTAGAGTTCTTACTCTTGGTGACTTCAGAATGCACAAAAGCAGCCCTATTCACCTTAGTTGTAAAAAACAGATCTCCACACTGTTAGTAATTAGTACCCATAGACAGGACTTCTTTTCCAAAGAACTTTATACATTTAACTGGAAGTTAGCATTAATTATCCTGGTTTTGCAAGATGAAAAAAATAACAGGCAGTGAGAAAAGACTATTTTTTCAAGATGACAGAGGATGAGTTTCAAATTCACTTTCAGCACCCCCAAATATGCATGTAATATTAGTTTATCTTGCCCATGAACCACAAAATGATGTATTAATAATGAATGCCTTAGTCATACCATAATGTACGTTTGACATTACACCTAAAGCAGAAGAATGTCTTCTCTCAAAATAACTGCTCTAAGATTTTCTATCCCCTTCTTCAATGATAACCAGCTATGTACTTACTGCACCACGTTTGCTTCTTGTGCTTTCAGAGCTGATGACCTCAATCTGCAAGCCCGCTGCTCTATTCTGGGGTTTGTGCTGGCCGGGAAGGAAACCACACTCAGGAGACCAAGCAGTGAGCACTGGAGCAACGCTTCACTCAGGAAGCAGGCGGGCTCTGCTCCCCAGGGCATCTGGTGGCCTCTCTCTGGTGGCCTGCCTCTCTCTCCCCACCAATCTTTCTCTCTCTCTCTCTCTCTCTCTCACACACACACACACACACACACACACACACACACACACGGTACAAAATCATTTCTAGCCTCCTTATTCCTAAATACATAATGTGTATTTCTCAGAAACATAAGGATTTAAGATGTATGCTGCCTTAGTTTCTTGCTGATTGCTCCCTGAGATATCAAACAGAAAAAATGGGGAATAAAAGGCCATGAGAACTTCAGGGGTGAGTCTGCCCTGAAGCCTCAGGGTTCCCACTGCCATGGCCTGCAAATTGCAAAATGTTCTGTGTTGCATGGGGAACTCAGATAACAATCAGGAAGCATTTCAAAGCAGGCAATTCTGATAAGCTGACTCAAGGGACCTCAAGAGTAAGGCATCTTGATCTCCAAGGCTCTGGGAATTTGTTGCAACTTCTTTTTCATTCTAAATAAATAGTTTCATGCCTAATTTTGAATTCAGAGAGCTCCAAAATTATATGAGCACTCTTAAGAAACCCAGGGTCCTGTCTGCTGCCACTACAGGGGCCCTACAAGCCCCAGTGACAAGGCGATCTGCAATAGACAGCAAACAGGCTGCACAGAAAAAAATGGAAGAAAGTTTGTGCAGGTAAACAAGCTACATGTGTTATATCCAGTCACCCAAAACTGGAGTCGTCAGGGCTAGGCTAAACTCAGTCACTGCTATAGGTTGCTATTTTACTGGAGAGTAAGTGTGTAAAGCAGCCAAGTGGCTCCTAAATGGCAGATGGTGTGTTGGCAGAGCCTCAGTGACACTGAGCCCCTGTGGTTCAGTGTGAGCACCCCCCTGTACACGGAAGGCCATTCCAATCACAGACGACAGTGAGGAGCTGTTCTCATGCAGCTCAGCATTGGCCTTCACTTGCAGGGCTGTTATTCGGACAGGGCTGTTATTCGGACAGGGCTGTGGCTCCTCCCCCTGGCAAATGCTGCCACCTCAGGTGGCTCTCCCTCTTTGCCTTGAAGAAAGCAAGAGGTATAATGCATGGGACCTGCTCTCACTGAGGAATATCCATCCTCTTGGGAGGTGGGACATACAAGGATCTGACTTATCTGGATGTTCCTCCCAAGGGTGGCACCATGGCACAGACACGAAGTAGCAGTGGTGGGGACCTGCAAGAGACAGAACTCCAGCCCAACCTTGCAAAACAACGAATTTATTGGCTTGACTATCTGGAAAGCCTCTGGATGAACTCAAGCTGGCTGTAAGCCATGAAGCCTAAAGGGTCAAATATCAGTGGGGCTCTGCTTCCCTAAGTCTGCTTCATTCACAGCTGCTCTTGGGATGGGAAAGCCTTTCCCAGGAGCATTCCGGGATTAGAGATCTTTAGAACTCAGGATTTCAGGAGGAGGGCTACACTCCTCAGAAAAGAACCCGGCAGTGATACACCATCCAACCCAGTGGGCCAGGGAGAGGTGCCTGAGTGACTGGCACCCCACTGGTAATGAGAAGAGCAGTTCACGAAGGCAAAAAATGCAAGACACAAAAGTAACAAGCTGGTCACCCACTAGTGCATTGGATTATTAAGCCTTTCATATGATCTTACCTTACTTCTCCAATTGGACTGTAAATCTATTACTAGAAGGATATACACAGAATGTTAAAGTGCTTATGCCTGAAAATGTGGGTTCATTTATTTTTTTAAATATTTTTTCTTTATTTTTAGGGAGGGCAGAAAAGAGGGAAAGAGAGGAAGTGAAATATGGATGCAAGAGAGAAACATCGATTGGTTGCCTCTAGGACAGAACCGGAAAGCCAGGCATGTGCCCTGACCTGGAATCAAAACAATGACCTGTCCCTTGGTGGAACAACACGAAACCAAGTGAGCCATACCAGTCAGATCAGGTCCTTTATCTTTTAAATTTACATTGTAGCTTCTAAATTTTCTAAAACAAGTAGATATTAAATTGTGTAATAAAATAATATAATAAAATAAGTTATTTCATGCTAAACAAATCCTATATACAAAGCAAAAAATATATAAAAATATGTGTGAATAAACCAGGCAGTCACCCTCAAAATGTCTATAATAGTTTACTGAGGAACAAAAAAGGGGGCTGAATGAAAATATATACCATGTGCTTTCAATTAGATATTCATTCTTCACAAAATAATTTTATAAATGTGTTATAATTCCAGTACAAATACTAATAGGCCTAGAAGTGTGGTAGAATAATTCTTCTCTACAGAAGAAAATTCTTTTTTTAACCCTCCCCTGAGGACATGCTTATTGATTTTAGAGAGAGGGGAATGAAGGGAAAGAGAGAGGTAAAAAAACATCAATCTTCTGCCTCTCATACCAGGGATAGAACTTGCAAACCAGACATGTGCCCTGACTGGGAATTGAACCTGTAACTTTTTGGTTTACAGTATAACACTCAAACCAACTGAGCCACACAAACCAGAGCTGGAAGAAAATTCATGAAAAAAAAATGAAAAGAGATTTGTACTGCCAGAAATAAAAATAGACCAGAAAAGTAAAATAATTACAATGGTATGGTTCAGAAGTAGAAAGATCCTTGGTGGATCATAACAAGACCCCAAAATAAAAATTCAGGTTATGGTAAAAATGAAACTACTAATCTGAAGATAAAAGTAGATTTTTAAAAATATCATTGCAAAAATTGCCTACTCATTTCCAAAAAAAGACTCCTACCTCACACCCCACACTCAAATCAATTCTGATGAAATAAAGATTTAAGGGAGAAAAGAAAGGTGCATTATAAGAACTGGAAGACAATATAGGTTATATATCTAAACAAGGTGAAAAAGGCCTCTTGACCCCACATGCAAAGGCAGAATACACAAAGAAAAAACAGATTTGATTAATTGAAAATCAAAACCCTCTGCAAATAAAAAATACTATAAACAAAATGTAAATACCAATGATAAGATGAGACAAATATCTGAGCAAAACCTTTGGTTTGGTTATTCCATTTGTAAGAATGCATCCTATGAAAATAATTATGAATAAATACAAAGCTATATGTGTAAGTTATAAGCTTATCTTTGATTATAATAATGATGACAAAGAAAATAAAAGTCTAGCTGGTTAGATTATGGTACATCCACATAATTAAAGATTAGGTAGCCATTAAAAGTGACACTATATCAGTATTCTTTATGATACAGATACAAAAGTCCTCAACAAAATAACTACCAAACTAAATCTAGCTACGCAAATAAAGGGTTATACACCATGACCAAGTAGGATTTATCCCAGAATTCAAGGTTAGAAAAACACATGAAAATCAATGTAATATACCATATATAATAGAATAAAGGACAAAACCACAGGTAATCATCTCAAGAGATGCAGGAAAAGTATCTTACAAAATTTGCACTTTCATGATAAACAACACTCAACAAACTAGGAATAAAGGAGAATTCCTCAACTTGATAAAGAGCAACTACAAAATACCCTAGCACCTAAAATTATACTTAATGGTTAAATCTGAAAGCTTTCACCTAAGAACAGAAACAAGATAAAGATGCCTCTGCTCTTACCACTTCTAGTCAGCATTATACTGGAGACTTTAGCCAGGAAAACTAGGCAAGAAAAATAAATAAAAGCCATTTATTGGTAAGAAAGTAATACTTTACTGTCAGAAGACATAATATTGTATAAATAAAATTCTAATCTACAACAATAAAACAGCTAATAAACTTGTTCAGCAAGATTGCAGGATACAAAAATCAATTTTATTTCTGTACTCTTGCAATGAACAATTAAAATACATTAAAAAAACAATTTTATTTACAAAAGTATCAAAAAGAATAAAACACTTAGCCATATATTTAACAAAATATGTGTAACACTTGTATACTAAAACTACAAAATATTGAAAAAACAAAGGCAGGCTTAAATAAATGGACAGACATCCATGTTCATGCATTGTAAGATGCAAAAGGACAATTCTCCTCAAATTATCTACATATCCAACCTTATCAAAATTCCAGCTGCAATTTTTGCAGAAATTTACAAACTAATTCTATAATATAACTCTATAGAAATATACAAACTCAGTATAGTCAAAACAATCTTGAAAAGGCATATTAAAGTATGACTTACACATCCCAATTTCAAAATTTACAAAGCTACAGCAATCAAGAACTGTGTGGCAAAGGCAAATATATAGACAAACAGAGTGTGAGAAAAGCAGGTTAACAGTTGTGAGTACACAAAACAGAGTTTATTCTTGCCTTATTATTTATTAATTACTGTGCTATTTCCATACAGACAACTGGAAACCTACTTTTTTCCCACCCTGTATAAATTAATAGAATAGAATTGAGAGTACAGAAATGAGCACATACATTTATGGGCAGCTGATTGCAAAGACAATTCAATGGGGAAAGAATAGTCTTCAACAAATGGTGCTGGGACAACTGGGTATCTACATGTAAGAGAATGAAGTTAGGCTCCTCCCTCACATCACACATGAAAACCACCTGAAAGATGTAAGAGTTAAGAATATAATACTGTTAGAAGAAACAAAAGCGCCCTGGCCAGGTGGCTCCTTTGGTTAGAGCATTGTCTCATACATCAAAATATTGCATTCAGTCCCTAATCAGGGCATATACCTAGGCTGTAGGTTTGATCCCTGTTTGGGGCACATATGGGGAGGTAACCGATCAATGTTTCTCTCTCACAAAAAGCAATCTCTCTCTCTCTCTCTCCCCCCTTCTCCCTCCCTGCCTTTCTCTCTCTAAATCAGGGGTGTCAAACTCATTTTCACTGGGGGCCACATCAGTTTCACAGTTGCCTTCAGAGGGCTGAATGTAATTTTAGGACTGTATAAATGTAACTACTCCTTAATAGTTAAGTGAGAGCTTGGTGCTGCTGTTGGGTAGATACAAGGTGCTGGGCCGGATAAAAGAAGGTGGAGGGCCGGATTCAGCCTGAGGGCCTTGTGTTTGCCACCTGTGCTCTAAATCCATAAACATATACTCAGCTGAGGATTAAAA